CATTATCATAATCACCATCATTGTTATTATTGTTATTATAACCATCATCACATTATCACCATTATTAATATTACTTCTAATGCTTCTATTAATACCAGCATTATTATTATCATCTTCATAATTCCTACTACAACTACTATTATCACTACTGCTATCATTTTCATTACCATTACTACTACCATTATCATTATCATTATTATCAGTAGTAATAGTTGTAGTAATAGTAGCAGTAAGTGAAGTAGTAGTAATAGTATCATCATCATTGTAATTCTTATGATTGACGGCATTATATTTGTCATTATCATCCTTATCATTGCGATAAAGATAATATTTTTGACAGCAAAAACGATGTCAGTGATGGTAATAACAATTATAAAAATAACATTCACTGTAATAAATATCCATATCAAAATGATGAACACGCAGACCTGATGAAAACAAAAAATGAAATAATACATGAAAATAAAAAAAAATAAAATAAAAAACGATCACTATAACATGATAACGATCAACAGAAGAGGAAAAGAAAGAAATGAAACAGTAAGAAAACTAGATAAAAAGACCAGTGCAAAACTCTAGAGCACGTCTTATAAAATATTTAAGTAATCAAATTAATCATTATCCAGATAAAGAATTAGAAGAGATCCAATCAAATGCGACGGGGATAATACTCCTCTTTATACACAAGACATCAACTAACGAAAGCCTTCCGCGTTTATCCAACACTTACTTGTGTTTACTCGTCACTGATCCTTCCGGAGGGCGAGTGGCCAAGCCGAGCGTCCAGCCGTCCGGACAGAGTGTTTACACTGTCGCCATGGCAACCGATCAGCTGTTCCTCTCCCTTATTTCCGGTCGCGGTGTGTCTCTACGGTAGTTGTGTCTGTGTGTGTGTGTGTGAATGTGTGTGTATATGTGTAATATGTACGATATATATTATATATATATATATATATATATATATGTATATATATATATATATATATATATATATATATATA